TTTCCAGCAAGTAATGAACAAAATGGTGTCTGGACTCAGAGGAGTGACTACGTACTTGGACGACATCCTCGTGAGCGGCAAAACAGCAGAAGAGCACAAAGAAAACTTGTTCGCCCTTATTCGAAAGAATAGCAGACTATGGATTCAAAGTTCGCCTGGAAAAATGTGCGTTTTCTAAGCCGGAAATATGTTACCTTGATTTTATCGTGGACAAAAAATGGAAGAAGACCCAATACGGAAGCAATAAAGAACATGAGCGAACCGAAAAATATTACCCAACTTAGAGCGTTCCTCGGCATGGTGACATAACTACTTCGGTCTTGTTGCTAACCCTCTATAAGAGTCACGTGGATCCTGGAAGGGGCACTGTTTGGTTGAAGAAGGATGCGGTGTGGAAATGGTCTTCAGAAGAACAAGAAGCGTTCAAAAACTTAAAGGAAGTGTTATCAAGTGACATGAACCTGGCCCACTACGATCCACGGCAGAAACTTGTTGTTGCAGCCGATGCTAGTGACTACGGAATCGGATGTGTTATTTCACATCGCTACCCCGATGGCTCAGAGAAACACAACTCGCACATAGCTACGATCGTTTATCAACTGCTGAAAGACTATAACAAATTGAGAAGAATGCTCTTGGAAATTGTGTTGTGTCAAGACAGTTCCACAAATACTTGTTTGAAAGAAAATTTCTATTTTTTTACCATAAGCTATTACTAGCGATTTTCGGCGAAAAGAAAGGAGTTTCGATCTATTCCGCAAAACCGACTCGTGCGATGGCAACAATATTGCTGGATAAGCGACTTTGAAATCGAGTAGCGTGAAGAACGCCAGTTTTTGGTATCAAGTGATGGTTTGTCAAGACTGATGAAACAGCACCCTGTATCAGACGAAGAAATGGTAGTCGCAGCAGTTGAAAACGATGTCTCAAGATTGCTCAAAGAATGCATCGGAAGCTACCGCTGACTCATGAAGATGTGCGAGTTAGCACCGAGAAGGATCCACTTCTGCAGAAGATCAAATCATATGTGAAACACGGAAGATGGCCAGAGGTCGAACCCAAGCTGGCACCGTTTTTTCAATAGAAAGGAAACACTGTCGATTGTGGAAGATTGTCTCTTGATGGGAGAAAGAGTTATAATCCCGAAAGAACTGAGAGCCAGAGTGCTCAAGGAACTGCATATTGGTCACCCAGGAATCGTGAGGATGAAAAAGCTTGCTAGAAGCTATGTGTACTGGCCAAACATTGATGACGATTGCCAAAACATGGTGCGTAACTGTTCGAAGTGTCAAGAATATGCGAAAAATCCCATAAAAGTGCCATTGGAGTCATGGCCAACTCCTTCTCGTGCCTGGCAAAGAATACATGTGGATTTCGTGACCGATTATCGTAGGGCTGCTACTGAACGTGGTAATGTAGATGCGTACATGTAAAACAGCGGAGGTATGCGAAATGAAAAACATTTCGACGAATCAAACTGTAAAGGAGCTGAAAAGGATATTTGCGAGATATGGACTACCACAAACTATTGTCAGTGACAATGGAACTCAATTTACGGCAAGCCAGTTCAAAGAAATGTGCGAGGAAGGAGGAATAACGCACACATAAGAACCGCCCCGTACCACCCACAGTCAAACGGACTTGTGGAACGTTTCGTGGATACGTTCAAAAGAGGAATCAGAAAACTCAAGGGGGAAGAGAGACCCTCAGAGGCCACGATCATGTCATACTGCAAGCATACCGAACCACTCCACACAGATGTCTTGAAGACAGAACTCCAGCAGAGATGTTCCTCGGAAGAAAACTTCACACGCGCTTAACCTTGCTCTTGCCTACCGACGAAACATCAGCACGGACGTACGCCGAAGAAAATCGAAGGAAGATGAAGCAACAATACGATAAGAGGAACAGTACCATTCCAAAGGAATTCAAAAAGGGAGACGACGTGTATGTTCAGGTGTGGAAAGCCCCACACTTCACATGGAAGCAAGGAGTTGTCGCAGAACGACTTGGGAAAGTTAACTATGAGGTCGTCGTTGAAGGAAGGCTGATGCGGAAACACGCTAATCAATTACGACACAGCAACACAACCGCAAGCTGGAAATGTGAAGACAATTCGTTGAAAACCCTGCTCGACGTGGTAGAATTGGATGACAATCGGCTAAGAAGCAGCGACAAGGTTGCTAGTGATTTGGACGTCAACACCGCTATACCGTGCTCTCCAGAACCATCACTGCGACGGTCGACTAGAATACGAAGACCCGTGAAACGATATGGCATTGATGTGTAGATTCAAATTATGAATGTTTTTGTTTCCCTTGTAAGTAGAAAGACAAATATTGTTGTTCAAATCTATCCTTGTCTTTCTACTGGGAGAGGTGTTCTATAGAGGAATGAACTCTGATAAAGTGTGCCACTGCGCACCTCTTATTGAAGAGCGTATTAAGAGAGGAGCGGTAGGGTTGATTAGTTATTTGATGTGTTGGTCTAAGCTCGCCAATAAACTTTCTGTGCGTATCGCTAATTCGAACTACTGCCCAGAAGACAGCGGACCCAGAAGACAGGTAATCCAACATTCTGATTCAATATGCAGCTTCTAAACGGTCTTCCAAAACTCAGGCTTCTGAAAAAAACCTTAGCCACTAGCAGTGAAGGATACAGCGTTTGATGATTCCCGACGTCACCCTCATTGTAACGACAAATGTGGGCGCTGTTTATCGACGGGGGGGCGTTTTGTACTACAATTATTTCCGCCTATTTCGCGTGTTCACAAATCTCACCCTGGTAATATACTATGTGAACCCTTGGTGAGAGCTGGTGCATAGATTGTCCTAGCCACCACCTAAAACGTGCAACTCGAGAAAAAGGCTACCCTAGTATGGTCGGCACCATCCATATGAAAGCAGGAATCCAGCCGTCGGACAAATCTGCGTGCACCAAATGTGTCTAACGATTGTGCTATGCAAGCCGTCCCAGTGAACATCACGGCTCTATTAATTTTTGGTACGATAATCCAGGCCATGACGCTTCTTAAGGAATGTCTCATGTGTAACATATTCAAGTGGTCGGGCGAGTACTACAAACAGACTAGGGGGCTAGCGATGGGACAAAGGCTTGCCCCAGTGCTTGCAGTAACTTTATGTCGAAAATTGAGAAGCCAGTTCTGGAGCGCAGACCAGTTTTGTACTGCCGGTATATAGACGACTGCTTCATATTATATTGTGTTTTTCTCAGAATGGAGATGGAAACGTGTTTCTAACTGTTGAACCAGAAGTCAGAACATACAGGGGGGGGGGCAAAAAAAGACACTTCGACCGAGTCACATATCAGCAAAGTTTTCGCAGCCCAGACAGAGGACGTGGATACGAGTACCAGGGCGGAAGATACCCAAGATGTTCCTCTATAAGCAGGAGCTGGCTCTCGCCCATCACCTTCATGTACACCAAAATATGAAGTCATCTCCAGTCGCAGCCTGACTGGAGAAGACGGTCCAGGACATCATCTTCACCTCAGTCGCCAAGGCGCCAGTTGATGGTGGGACGTACCTGGAATGGAGAGACCGATATTTTCTTCGTGGGCCCCGGACTGAAGGTGAGCGCTGGCGGTTACATCGAGCAACTCGAGAAGAATATCCTCTCCACATGTCGTCGCCCGTACCTTCTTGGAAACTTTGTACTGCTACAGGATTGGGTGACACCACATGGAATCAAAGGGCGTTGGGAAAACTCTTGCCTACTTGGAATGGAAGGGCGTTGAGTACCTGAAGAAGGTGGAATATCTAAGCAGGTCACCTGACCTAAACCCCCTCAATTACCTGGTTCGGGCGGAGTTCAATAGGGTGGTCTACAGTGGCGGAGAAATCAACGATCTCGCTGAACTCAGGCACCCACTCACGGTCGCGTGGCAGAATCTCTCGATGGCGCTCCTCCAGAAGGCTGTGGCGGAGTATCATGATAGTATTTAATATGCTCTTTAATATGGTGGTAGAAATGTCCGATAAGAATTTAATAAAGTGTAACTTATAGCGCCTCGAAAGTCAAGGAAGAAAAAAGTCTTTTTTGGCCCCTCACCCTGTATAAAGCTTACGAGGGATATACCGGCAGACGACTGGCTCGCCTTTCTCAACATTCAAGTCCACCACTGCGGGCACCTTCAGAACAAGGTGGTTCCGCAAGCTCCACTAGCAAGAACATCCTTGTTCATTACACTTCTGCTCACCCTTCCAGCACTAAGAAAGCCATCATCAGAAATATGCTACACACAGCTTCAAGTTTCATCAGGAAGCGAAGATAAGGCCGATTCGGTGGAACGGGCGGTTTGCATAGCACGAGAGAATGGCTACACATTGTCAAAAGTCCCTACCAGAGGCAGAGCAAGGAGGGCCGCACTTCTTGGTCACGAAGAGGAACGAAAGTCCCGTTCTGTGTTCCGTTTCTATCAGACGAGCTGAGTGCTTCGTTATTGTCTTTACGACCGCCTTTGTACAACTCCTTCCTGCATCATATGTCCGTTCGGAAAGCAAGGGGACTGCATGACATCGGGGGTAGTGTACCTGATCACATGCTGTCTTTGCAAAGAGGAGCTACATGGTCAACCCTCTGAGAGGTCTCCTCAGGGAAGTGGCCTGGAGCCCTACTTATTTAAGCCACTTTACTAGTGGAATGGGGTAACAGGTGGACCTCATTGGTCGACTTCCCAAAGGTTGGTTCTTATCGTTTCCATGACGTCATTATAGTAGTTTACGACCTTTTTTGAACTTTTCCGGTAGGTTGAAATAGTGTGTGGATGAGTAGTTCCGAGAATGTCTTCCGGCTTTCCAGGCTCTGAAGACGGCGAAACGGACGCGGCCGGAACGTTGATTCAAATAAATGATTTGTTAACAACTCTCGTGCCGGCTAAACAGTCCTGCTTGACAGTAAGACTGTTTAATATGCTGGCTCCTCGAGCTAAGTCCATTGTATACGGCCACATCGAATCAATATAAGCCGCTCAATTCTAAATGGAAAAGTAGATGCGAGTCCGCTGCACAAAGGATTGATCAACGGCGAAAACCCTACGTTTTTTACTCTTATTCTATCCGGTTGAACTGGTTGGATTATGTTCGTGGATAAAAGATTTACTATTCCATTGCAGTGGGGGAATTGTACCATAGGGGTGAGTAATTTTGACAGGTACTCTGGTTCCTAAATTACCTCGTTTTGACAGCGAAGCACTCAACTGTGACTTGACAGTGTGTGCTCCGTTCGAGCAAACGCAAGGTAAGTAAGTGAATGGTCAAAGATGCACCTGACCAAGTGATCGTAACCTCGAGGTAGCCACATTTTCAAGAATGTTGGAAAACCTGTTTGCTATGTATGCCCCTAAGAAAATCCTGCTGAGGTTCGTGAAGGAGAGTTTGAAATCACTATCACCCCAGATCACGAGAATACCCTTCAGTTCAAATGGAGTGCGACAGTGTAAAGTGGGAATAATCAAAAGAACATCGAAAATGGCCTCTCTATCATTTGAATCTATATCAAGTGTCGAATGCAAAAGTTGTCAGACAACGAGAAGAACTGAGACCCAAGTTTTGTTCGGTGCTAAGAATTCTCCATTATTTTAGCAAGTCTTTCCAGTGACCGTTTGAGCTGCAGTGAATGGCAACTCGAGTCAGTTCCGAATTTTTTCAAGAAGTTCACTTAAATGTGTTGCCATTACGGATGTCGATGAAAGCGACGAGATCGCCAATTTGCCTCTTTTTGGCCTTCACATTTTCTGCTTTCTCAGGTGTTAGCTGCTGTCTGTGCATGAAGTTCAACGTGTGTAATTGAACAGTAAAGGATCGTTGAAGACCAGAGGTGACCATTCAGGGTGCAGAATACAGTGGGGAGTGATTTTGGAGAAGATAGTCGACATCCTCGCAACCAAGTGGGTGAATATCTATGCAAAAACAAGAGAAAATCTAACGCAGTGCCAGTGCACCCGCAATTTTCGCTCACCGCATTCATCCAAAGAATCAACGTGATAGTAATGACAACCCGAAGGTAATCAGTCTCAACAGGTGGCTGACCAATACATTGCTCATCTTCGAGTGATGTATACTAAGGTTTATGTCGTGGCATACTATTAGGTTGTTCGAAAAGTCCTGCGACACTTTGACCAAATTTTTCGGACTAAATTTTCTGTCACTAAAAGACATCTCCAATCTACAAGGTAACCGCAGTTGATGACTAGGACTAGTGCCCTTCTTTTCTCATTTCCACAT